AATGTGTTCTAAATTCATTTCTAACACCTGATACTTCTGATCTCAACTTATGACAAGTCAAATTCATCAATAAAACTTCAAAAACTATATCATACGAACAATTCACTTACACCCTTATTACAATTCCTTTCTAATTCTCTCTTCTTGTTGTTTTGATCTTATAAGCTTTCCTTAAGCTTATATAATACCCAAAGAACAAGAACCAACTTAAATTTCAAGAAATAAACCATTATAATCCAACTCACTTCTAACACCTGATACTTCTTATCTCAACTTATGACAAGTCAAATTCATCAATAAAACTTCAAAAACTATATCATACGAACAATTCACTTTTACACCCTTATTACAATTCCTTTTCTAATTCTCTCTTCTTGTTGTTTTGATCTTATATAAGCTTTCCTTAAGCTTATATAATACCCAAAGAACAAGAACCAACTTAAAATTTCAAGAAATAAACCATTATAATCCAACTCACACTTGCAATGAAACTAACGGGAAGAAGAAGAAGAAGGCAAGAGGAAATAACTTCCAGATATGTCTCTCATAACCCACGTGTTTATCTTTTAATAAAGGGGTGGAAATATCCTTTAAACTGAAAAGATTATAATATCCTTAATTCTTTTCATTCTTGATATTTAATCCAATATCAAAATATTTTTATTTAAGTCCCTGAACTTTTCAATTTTTCCTAAATTGATCACCAAATTTTAAAAAATTTCATTTTTAGTCACTAGCCCAGTTTTTTGGGATGTTACACCCCTTATGAGTATTGATACTTTCACTTTTAAAAAAATATTTTTATATTGGAGTATTGATACCTCGGGAAAGGTATCGATACCCAATAGACAATATCGATATTGTATGGCTAGTATCGATACCAAGGGATTATTTTGGGCTATAAGTTATGAGGAATTGTAAAGGCTAGTGAGGTTTCCAATAAGCTTTATATTCTCTAAAATAAGAAAACAAGTGGAACAATAATAATGTTTAACTCAAACGTATAAACGAATAAAAATAGGGTGACATAAAACTTGTCTTGGTTGATGCTTGGGAAACGATTCAGACACCTGAGTTCATTTAGTTCAGGGTGTAGAAATATAGAATAAATCTGGATATCCTTAGGAAGGGCACAAGGCCCTTAAAACTGACTAGTTAGGGCGCAAGGTCTGACACTTGCAAGGGGTGGGCTAGTCGGGGGTGTGGTGTCTGATGTAGAGATTACGAGGGCCACATCCTTGGTAGACTATAGGGATGAGTGAGCTCCGAGATGTAGAAATCTCTCAATCGCACCATGATGTCTACCATAGCGTAGAGAGTAAGTATCGCAAGGATACTCACTAATGATTGAATTGAATAAAATTATAGTACTTTTATAAGTTGTTAAAGCATGGTTTTAATGAACCACTTTTAGTATATTTTAGTTGTTAGTTTGGCACTGGGCTAGTTTGCTCAGCGTTTGGAATTTGTTTCCTTACGCATATTAAGTGAAGATCAGTAGAGGAACTTTTGACCAGCAGTGATTTCATACCAGCTCCAGAGCAAAGTACGTCTCGAATCCTTTAGAGGGCATGCATATTTGCAACCCTTATTTTGTATATTGAGTCGTAACTTGTGTTAAATTTATGGTCTGTATATTTTGATTTTTATATCTGTGGGAGCTCCCGAATTGTAAATTGTTTTGTAAGAATGTTATTGAATATTTCATTATCAGTATTTATAAATGAATGATTTCCATCGAGTAAAGCAAAGAAAATTTTTGGTTAGACACTCTGATGGTACCGTGTGGTACTCTTACTGGTCAACTGTGTATCGTATTGGTACAAGGTGTTATATTTGTGGTCTTTTTATTTGTGGGATTGAAAGGATGAGGTTAAAGGGGGTCATCTAAGATAGTGGTCGGAGCGACTTGAAATAAAATATTTGAAAAAAAGAAAAAAAAAAGAAAAAAATGAGAGGGTTATACAAATAAGAGAACGGCTGAGGGAGAATAGTGGAAACAGAAAATGGTGTTTAGGGTTTTTTTTAGCCTAATTAAGGCTTTAAATTATGTAAACGGCGCCGTTCATCTTTTGAAAGGGCTAGGGTGGCCTTGTTTTCATCTTTTGGGATATTTATGTAAGGTCTGCCCATCTTTGAGTTAATACATTTAAGTCCTCAAATCGAGGCTTTCTAGCTTATTATTTTGCCTTATTATTTTGCCTTATTATTTTGCCCTATTATTTTGCCCTATTATTTTGCCCTATTATTTTGCCCTATTATTTTGCCCGTGTTGCGCTTCAGTCACTGTTTGCCTGTTTGTTTGTATGTCCTGCTTTCGTAAATTTGGTACTTTATTTTCATAAATTGTATTTTAGTCCCAGATGTTATTCTTGGGCTATTTGTGTTCTCAATTCATTCAGTCCCTATTATTTACCTTATTGATCCTTGTTCTTTCAAATAACTTGTATTTTAGCCTATTACCTGCTTATGTTCACATTATGCGCATGTGTATATGTCATACGATTTGTTAGTGTAAGAATAAATAGTATCTTGCACATATTTGTGTACTTCGAGTTTTATTATATCCTTATATTTTACATGATCGAATAATGGTTGTGGTTTGGATATTTACTGTTTACTTACGCCATGTATATATAAATGGATGCACAAGTATAATTTGGTTATATTTTATGTACATATATATGTGCTATATATTTCTCTTTTTTTAATATTAATATTAATATATATACGTAATAGACGTATTATATGCCTCTGTTTCCATGTCAACTCTTTATTTCTATATTAATTTATTATCTAAATTTTTTTGGGTTGTTAATTAATGTTTCAATGCCTGTATGTATAGTAAGTATATTTTATATATTATTTATTTCTGTATACTAAGTATAATATAGTATAATAAAGAATATTTATATATATATATATATTAATTATATTATTTTTTTATGCATGATATGTACGTAAATATGTAATTTGGTGCATATAGCTCTAGGTTTTATTTTAATTGATATGTATGTTATCCTCATGTGCATTACTCGAACCTCATTAAAATAATTTGACTAAGGGTAATATCCATTTATTTTGGGATTGTGAGAAGCGACTGTCTTAAGGTATGAGAAGGTCACTTTCAATAGTCGTAAAATAAAATAGCATCCTATCAATCGAAACCTTAAAAATTGTTTTCACTTAAAACTTGGGACTAAGAAAATAAATCATGTTTTTTAAATTAAAATCACTGAGAAAATATTGTAAAAGGTATGGTCTCGATATCATTAAATAATTAAGCATCCTAATTCTCATTAAAGGTTGGTAAAATAGTTAATTAATTGTATTCGTTTGATGTATGTATTTAAGTTTCATCTTACTTTGTATGTGTCTAAAAGGAGTATCAAATTAAGTTATACTAGAATGTATAAGTTTTATTGCAAAGACAACTCAAATTTTTGGTAATGCAGACCGTAAAATTGTTGTTTTAATTATCATTAATATTTTATTAAAATGACAAATATATTTTTGGGTGTTCAGTCATACTCTGATCAAATATTGGTGACGACCACGAATCGATTTTATTATTTTTTAAACTCGAATCCCAAATTATTCGAAGCAAACTTATTTTTACAAAATTTCAATTTTTAATCGGCAACTTGATTTTAGAAAAGGAACGTCTCAACAGAAGGGACATAATAATCTTGTGTTTCAGTGAATTTTTATCAATCCGAGCATGTTCCATGTTGGTATCTCTTGGAGCAAAACGTATGTTGATTCTGCTGGTCTTCTACGTAACAGTCCAGCACCTCAACCTCTTCAGGTGCATTGGTCGCCGCCAAATGAGGGATGATTATGCCTTAACACGGCTGGTACTCTTTCACGGTCGACTGATCAGGGATTAATTGGTGGTTTGCTCTGCACTTCAACTAGGGAGCGTTTGTTTGTTTTTCGCAGGTACGTTGGTCATACATCGGTGCTAGAAATTGAGCTTTTAGGTATCTTTAAAGGGCTCGAACTTGCGTGACAGCATGGTTTCGAGAAGGTTATAGTGCAGTCGGGTAGCAGTGAAGCTCTTAGCCTCCTATCCCCTTTGTCTGTGGACAGTCCGATTACGTCGGTGGAATTCATTTCGCGCCTCTACAAGAAAGCTTGGTTCGTTAATTTTAAAAAATCTATTGCGAGGCAAATGTCGCGGCTGATTTCATTGTAAAAATGAACATTAATCATTACTCAAGATGGTTCTCTTCTCATTTTCGACTCTCTTCCATATTATTTACTGGCTATTCTTATGAAGAATTGATGTAATGACTTGGACCTACTTTTACTATTCAATATATATAATACATGAAACCCTAAACCGTATACCCTAAATCTTATATTAAATTTTAAAAGAAAAAATCAACACATAAACATTTATATTAATAATATGTTATATTTTGAGTTACTTGCGAGATTTTCTATCGAGTATTAAGTATCTTGTTTCAGATCGTTAAGAACTCGACTCGAGATCGAACTCAAGTCAAATTTATTCAAATCAAATATTTATAGAATTTTGACGGAAAAATCTCAAATTGTTCACAATTTATCTTATTTCATTTACAGCCTTATTCAAGACCATCTCTAAAACTGTGTAGCAACATATACAATACAAAATGCAACAAGTACCTTAACTATTGTCGGTGACAGCTAAAAAAAACTTAATATTTAAGGTTATATAAATTTAAAATTTAATTATAATTGTCTGCCAATCACGACATCAAAGATATATATTAAGGTTATAATTACACCAAAGGCAAAAGTAATTAGATGTTAATTATAATTAAACTAATATTTAAGATCAATTTAAAATTTAATATAAATTATAATTAAAATATCACTTAAACTCATAACTCAAAAAAAAACTGCCTTTTCTCTTGAGCTCTCAGAATATTGGAAATTGAAACCGATGTTCCTATCAGAACTAGTTTTACTATCGTGTCAATCGCCTTTGCACCCAATACATGTTTTTGACAGACAAAGCACCTGCGTGTCATCGAAAAACGCATCATCTGCTCCCCATTTGCCGCGTATATTCCCCTACGTGTCCCGCCGTCGTTGATCGGCTCCCTCTATAAAAAACACGCTTCTAGTCTACATTTCTGTACGAGCATCAGCCACTTTGCATGCACTGCTAAATAAAGCAGCAGCCATAAGAGTGACGGTGATAATGGCGTCTCAACAAAAAAGAGAGCAGCTCGACTCCAAGGCACGGCAGGGAGAGACCGTCGTTCCAGGCGGAACCGGTGGCAAGAGTCTCCAAGCTCAAGAGAACCTTGCTGAAGGTACAATAAACATAATGCATACAATAGTTGTTTGGCATTGAATACTCGTATATATGTTTTGTTAGTTTTTTCGCTTGAAATACACAGGGAGGAGCAAAGGAGGGCAAACGAGGAGGGAGCAGCTAGGGAGAGAAGGGTATCAGGAGATGGGAAGCAAAGGTGGACAGACAAGGAAGGATCAGATAGGGAGTGAAGGGTACCAAGAAATGGGCCGAAAAGGCGGTCTCAGCACCATTGATAAGTCCGGCGGCGAGCGGGCTGCGGAGGAAGGAATCGACATCGATGAGTCCAAGTTCAGAAACTAGGAACCCTTAAGTTTCTGCTGTCGATATCGTTTAGTGCTGTTCCTGTTGTTTTCTTTCTCCTGTGTGTGTTTCAGTAGGGTTGTTTGTTTTTTCTGGTTTCTAGTGGTCCGTCCCTATGAATATCTAATGGAAGATTTGGAGTTTATTCCACCATGAAATGATGCTTCATTATGCGTTATAGAACCCATACAAAGAAGACCTGTAATCCAGAGCTTGGTCTCCCTCTATGCTTTTGAAGTCATTAACTATTGCAATACCCAGCTGAGAAGTGATCAAGTCAAATCACGTCCTTCAAACATAAACAAGAATGTAGAAGACATACCCCAAACTACGCTGTGCAAGAGTGTGAGAACAATTATGTCTGGGGTAAGTGTCCCAAACAAAGCTTGACCGTCCCACCTATTGAACTTTAGCTCAAAAAAAGCTTGTCACACAGTAAAGTAAAAGTCCAGGACATGTCAAAAACATGAGGATTAAATTAAACAGGAAGTAAAACAAATCATTTGTATGTCTCATATTGTAAACGTTTGAGATTCTTGTTGGTTGGCCGGGAATCTCATTCCCGGTAATGTTTTATTATTAATAGTAGATATGTTTTATTATTAATAGTAGATTTTTTGTGTATATTACCGAGAATGTCATTACCTCCCTTCCCTTAGGTATTGTAACATTACCGACGTTTTGGACTAAAATGCCCTTAAATTTTTATTTATTTTTTCAAAAATATCATTTTTCTGTCATTGAATAATAAGTTCTACGAAGGTTAAATTACAAATTTATCCTTAAATTATTTTAGATTTACAAAAAAAATCTATAAAAAAATATATATAATATTTTACAATTTGTAATTAACAATATATAATAAGGACAATTTGGTCAAATATACATTCCAATAATCTTTATTCCTTCAACCAAACACGGTAATCTTACATTCCTGCTAAACCAACCAAACACAAAATACAACATTTCTAGTAATCCTATTTCCTGATAATCTTTTATTCCTACTGATAATCTTACATTCTGTGAACCAAACGCACACTAAGGGTATAAACTTGAAGGGATAATAATTCTACTCCAACTTGTTTAATTATATTGGATAAGATCGGTTTTTATTTTTAAAAAATGAATTCAGATTTTAAGAGATTAGATTTATGTATAATAGATAATTGTTATAATATTTTTTTATATATAATTTTTTTTATGTAGATAATTGTTATAATATTTTCTTCTACAGTTTTTCTATTGAAGTTTTTATTTTAGGTGGATAAAATCCAATTTATATTCATTTCAGTTTAAATAGAGGAAATAATTTTATTGGATTCGAAAATAATTAAACGAATCAAATTAAATCAACCGAATTAACTGAAAGTTTAAATAATATATATTACATATTAAATATTTTTTATTTTTTTATTAATTCAATTGATTAGACCGGTCTTGGTTAAAATTAAAATTTAAACACTTTTAATATATAAATAATATATAAATTTTTTTGATTAATTCATTTAATCATATATAAATAATATATATTTTTTTTGATTAATTCATTTAATCTAATTTTGAAGAAAGTATTAACATTTAATAGATCGATTAACTGAAAAAATTTTGGTCTGATCAGTTTATTCGTATTATCTGAAATTTTTGAACACCTCTCTTTTAAATATTTAAATTAAGGGTAAATCATACCAATTATCACTTAACTTTACTTTCTCTTTTATTTCACTTACTGTACTTTAAATTCATTCATTCAATTTCCTTATTGAATTCAACATAATTAGTATTTCTGGTTATTCAGCTGTTTTCTTGTTTTCTTCTAAACGACGTTATAAATGAGCTATTATTATATAGATGAAAAATAACGTTGTTTTGGTGAAATTTTTGTTTTTCTAAAACGATACGTTTTAACGCCATTATTAAATATTTAATGGTAGAGTGATCAAATATGCTAATATGTTAAATTCAGTGAGATAATTGAACAAATCTACAATATAGTGAGTGAGATAAGATATAGAGTAAAGTTCAGTGATAATTGGAGTAATTAACCCTCAAATCAATGGAACAGAGATCATATGGCGAAGAGTAGCAAAATATCACACCAGGGCAGATGATATAAACCAAGATCCAGGTGCAAAATTTCTTATCTGGACAAAAACGGACGTTGGGGGCCGACTTGAATATAAATTTTAGGGAGAGGAAAATAAATTTTTAATAGATAATATATATATATATATATAAAATTTAAAATATATAATAATTTTATATTTTTTATATCTTAAATTTTTAGGGTGGCAACCACCTCGATCCACTCTCCCTAAATCCATCCCAGTATCCAGTAGGGATGGCAAACGGGCGGGTCGGGTGCGGATACCCCTCCCCCATCCCCATACCCACCTAATATTTTTTAATCCACCACCCGCCTACCACCCATGATGGGTACAAATTTTCAAATCCACACCCGCCCACGCGGGTATATTTTCAAATTCATCCCCACACCCACTACCCACTAGCGACATACCCATCTAGACTCGCCTGACAACAAACTAATGGGATGTTGGAGTTGGTTCCCAGACAGTTCGTGATGGGGTAGCAGCGCATGCTTCAATTTGTCAGAGGAGTAGCTCTACGAATGTTATGGAGACAGATTGTAGGGAGCATGTAGTCGCAGAGCTGGATTGTTGTGTTGCTTTCGATGTTAATGCTTATAGTGCGCCTAATATGGGTTTTGAGGGGCTAAAGAACATAGGAACTGCTGTTTTTGATGTTAATGCTTATAGTACGGCTAATTTGTGTTTGGATAGGCAGCATGGGCTAAAGAACATGGAAAGTGACATGGTTAGTGGGATTATATGGGTTTAATCAAAGAGCCGAATATTTCCCTAATTAAAGACCAGATTAAAGACTAAATATCCTTAATATTTGGATAAATTATATGTTATATATTATACAATATTAAAATTTATAAATTAGTCTCTAAAATTACAGCTAAATTCATAATGGTCCAAAATTTAATAGATATTTAGCTGGGACGGCGGATGCGGGGCGTGTAATGTCTCAAACCCATTACCTGCCCACCATCCACGACGGATACTACTTTATAAATCCACACCCGCCCACTACCCGCTAAAATTATACCCATCCCCGCTCCAATTGAAACGGATGCGATGCGGAATCCACGAAATTGTAACCATTTGCCATCCCTAGTATCCAGCCTTTTTGTTTTTTAAGCTACTGCTGTTTTATGTAAGTAACGATTTTTCAATTCTATAATCTATTATTTTATTATTAACAATTTAATTACTCATGTCATATTTAATAAATATAATTTATATATATTTATTGTTTTAAAATAACAATTGTTATTATTAGATTTTTAAAATAATTACAATAATATCGATGCCCATCGAAATTCTTTTCATGTAAAAAGCATTTAGAAATGTTCTTTTTCTTCAGCATCTTCCAAAAAAATTAAAAAAGAAAATGTGTTCGGTATGTTCTACGCTTCACCAGCACGACTGCCACTGCACTTTTAAATTTTGGGTGCTGATACATAATGCGTATATACACTAGATATAGCCAGTGGCGGATACATTAAGGGCCGAAAGTTGACATACGTACATCTTAAAATTCGAATTTTCTTCGATTAGTCATTTGTTTTATTGATGGTGTTCACTCTGAAAATTTATGATGCCCCACCATGAAATTTGAATTTTCTTCGATTATGACATATTTTATTGATAGCGTACACCCTGAAATTTTTCTTAAACCTACCTTGTTCAAAAAATTTATATCGTTAATATATATATGTGTTCATCCTAAAAGATATTTCTAGATTAATTTAACGGAGAAGGAATAACAAATATCACTATAGAAAGGTGTTTGTGTCCCACTAACTCCATCTTTCTGCGATGGCATTTAGATTTTATGATTAAAAGTTTGACATAATGATATTCTCTTCTATATAAATCCAACTTTAAAAGGTAAATGCTCTGGGATCTATCTAGCTCAGTTGGTAGAGCACAAGATTTTTAACTTTGAGGTCGTGTGATCGAGTGTCTCGCAGGGAATTTCATAATTTGGAGGTATTTTACGGAAACTGCTCTCAACCTGGTATTGGGGGCAGCCTACTATCCTACCTCTCCCCTTATCCCATTACATATGAGAACAAGGGACAACCATTTTTTTAAAGGTAAATGCTTTGTGCAAAACAGCTAAATGTTGAAAACATGTATAAATGAGCAGCTAATTAGTTTGATGGCCAAATGAGAAAATGTAGCATTATTTAACAAAGCAGTTGGAAAGTTGACGGAGACATTTTGAATGAACTATTCAATAACTAATATAGGGTAAATTACACGTTTAGTACTTAAACAATCAATTTTGGTTCGTTTTACTACCTAACTTTTAATTTTTCAAAACCATACTTAAAGTTTAATTTTTGTTTCATTTTAGTAACTCGTTCAAATTTAATGTTAAGTTCTGAAATTTTTTGAAAGTTTAGGTACTAAAACTGATAGTTGAAATACTAAACGCGTTAAGCTTTTAACTGATGGGGTGCTAAAATGAAACAAAAACTAAATGTTATATATGGTTTTGAAGAAATTAAAAGTTTAGGTACTAAAATGAACTAAAACTAATAGTTTAGGTGCTAAATACGTAGTTTACCCACTAAAATATACTAGCATTATACTTGTCAACTGAACAGTTTGGGTAAATTTTAATTGGATTATATTATAAGGTAAACTACAAGCTTAATATTTAAATTATCACTTTTATTTTATTCTAATATATAAACTTTATTTTTTTGTCAAGATCATACCTAACCTTTAATTTATGTTTTATTTTGGCATCTGTCGTTAAAAACTTAACGAACTGACTGACATATATTTTTTTTTCACGCGTATTTTAACAATTCATATCGTCATTCCATGTGGGTATGTGAAATAATAAGAGACTTATTAAAAAAATTTAACGGATATTTCCTTGTAACCACTTAACTATTG